CTCATGAGATTTTCACTAAAGTAAAACAAATATTTTTTAAGTTTGTTTTTGATAGTTTTATTTTTGAAACTTACTCCTTTTTTGTTTGTAAGTTTTATGGATTAAATCTGAAACATATTATTTTGTGGAAATTTCAATTGTTTTATTTATTGCTCAGCTATAAAACTACTGCCTAGTTAAAAAAATATTACCCAGTTATGATTGATGGTGTTCGGTGCGGTAGTTTGGTAGTTTCCGAGATCCGAGTTTCGGACGTATATATCACAAGTTCCATTATAATAAGATTAAGTAAACATAGTGAGCTTAAGTGCACGTTACTTTGTATCTCCACGATATTCTGTTAACAAAAATATTCGTCTTTCTTCTGCGGCACACTCAAAGATAGTAACTCAAATTTGGTCTAATTATTTGTCCCCCAGTATAGCATTCTACAAAGTCAGAATCAGAAGAGTCAGGCGTGGCCCAGTTGTAGCGTGACGGACTATGGACATACGCATCCAGCATGCGCGTCCTATTACCGAAAAAAAAAAACAAAAATAAATAAATCGCATTCCACATTTTGGGGTAGTGGGAGCGTTATAAAGGTGACGATCAAATCCCACTATTTGGTCGGACAAGAATAGTCCAAGAATTGGCGGTGGGTGTCTTGTATTAGCTGCCTTCCCTATAGTCTATCAGTTAAAAATTAGAGACGGCTAGCGCAGATAGCTCCTGAATAACTTTGCACGAATATCCGATAATAAACAAACAGGATCACAGATTTGATCTGCTGCTTTGTCCTGGGCTTTACGTGGGAACCTCGAGTCTTTTTCTTGATCAAGCGAAAACAAGGACTGGTAAGTGAATTGAAACTGATAACCTTGAAAGATGTAACAGTCGAGTTATGAATCACTTTAGAAGTCTATATAAAATAGATTCGCGTTAGGGTGTGGTCAACTTGTATGAGAAGTCTTGGAAGAAGAGAAAGTTTTCCAGGTAGGCTAACAAGTTCATGATATATATGGTAGAGCTCGTGTGATAGAAACTTGTAAAACAAAGAGTTTTTTAATGTGTTTATTATGGGTCTCAGGAAAAGAGAAGATTTACTCAGGAAAGGTGGTTTAATGGTATAATCAGGAATTATATTACCTGAAGTCTTTGTTCTCTGGAAGAATGCTGTGTTAGTTTTTTGTTTTGATACTGAGAACAAAATAAGATTGAGTTGTTTATTTCAGCGTCTTGTAGAATATGAATTAAGTTATCATGTGCCACTCAATTAGTTGAAAATATTTGGCGAGAATATTTTTAAATTTATGCTGATATTGATACATAAACAATCCTGTAAAGTAAGTAAATCTAACTTTGAAATTTAATTATATTTATGGTAAACGTTCATCGTCACTTGTTCTTGAGTAATGAGAAACAGAAATCGTGATGAATTTCAACTTGTTCGGAGAGTTGAGTTTATGATAGTTAAAAACTGTTTGAATATGTATAGTATATATACATATATGTGTGTGTGTGTGTGTACATGTGTGTTTTGGTAAGTAGGGTTATTTCGGGGATAAGCTTTCAAAAGTGTAATTTTGATTTTATCATTTAACGAAAGATTAATGCTTTAGTATATTAAAAACTATTTTAGAGTAAGTTTTTCTTAAGTAAAATAACAATTCAGGTGTTCCTTCCTTGTAGATTAAACAATCCATCTACAATGAAGACAGTTGTTTTTCTTGTTGGTAAGTCAAAATTTTATTTCTATTATTGAAATAAACATTATACTTAGGATATAAAATATAATAATCGTGAATGGTAATTTTACATATAATGTGCAAAGTAGGTAGTTTATCAAAACAGTGAAATTCTTTCTGAAATAAAGTTTCAGTTATTTTTCTTTAACATTAAAGCATGGGTGAACTATTTGTTGCTGTAACGATGGTAATGTGTAAAGATCTCTAACACTGCAAGGAAAACTCGATCGTATAAGTCAAATACTTCAAAGAAGGGTCAAAAACAATAAATTTTAAAGATGTTGTCATTAGTCACAAAGTTTCAAATCATAGTTTTTGGTTCCGAGAGTCAAGAATACTGTCAGTTGGAAGTCGGAAATAGCCAGTTTTTAAAGGTATGGTATTGGGGTAAAAGATCCTCAAATCATGAACGAAAGCTTCAAGTCAACTAACTAGCTAAGATTATAAGTGTAAGTTACGATTTCCAAAAACTCGGTCGTAGCTAAAATTCCAGAGAGCCCCCAGTGGCACAGCAGCATATCTGCGGACTTACAACGCTAGAATCCAGGTTTCGATATGCATGTTGAGCAGAGCACAAATAGCCCAATGTGTAGCTTTGTGCTTAACTACAAACAAACATGTATATAAGCGTGAATCAAAAGTTTTAAAAACATAGTTATACATCAAAATTCTAAAAACATGTACTTATAAACTTAAGCTACGAGATTCTAAAACCTGGTTATAAGTCACAAGTTCCAAAGATCTAACCATAATCTCGAGTCACAATTTTCGAATGTTCCAAAGAAGTAGCTGCAAACGTAAGTCATAAGTCTCTGAAGTAAAATTACAAATTCTAAAGATCATAAGTATCATAAACGTTATGTTAAGGGTAAGTTTTCAATATGTAGGCAAGGTAGCAATACCAAAAATAAATCTTAAGTCAAACTTCAAAAGATATAGGACTGGCATGGCCTGATGGTTATGGAGCTGGACTTGCAATCTTTGGGCCGTGGGCTCGAGTCCCGTCACCGTTCTGCTCATCCTTTCAACATTGAGGACGTAATAATGATACGGTTAATCCCACCGTTCAGTTAGTGCAGCCAAATAGTCTATCACTTCTCAATTAGTGACGATAAGCGCAGATAGCTTTCGAGTAGCTTTGCGCGAAATTTAGCATACAAACAATCCAAAGAAATAACCATAAACGTGAACCACAAATTCTCTAAACGTGGTCAGTATTTGGTATTGTCTTTGTTTCTTGCAGAATTTTGAGCAAAGCTGCATAAGGACTACTCTCGTCGAATAGTGATATTTGATCGTTTTCAAAAGGAACCACGATCGTAAGTTACAAATTCCAAAGATGAGGTCGTAAGTCACAAACCCTAAAACATTATTTTAATTATCAGTGGGTTAGGCGTAGTTTATGACTAGTGTGCTAGGCTGTGGATTGAAAGGCAGAAAGTCAAAATTAGGGACGGCTATACCTGAAACCTAGAAGTTCCTGACCAAGCCATACTGCCCATACGTGCATAAGATGCCATCCAGGTTGACAATACCAATACTGAAACCACAAATTCCTGAAAAAAAATTTAATTTAATTATGAAAGTATATATTTTTACATAATGTGAAAAGCACTGTTGTTCAAAACGGACATATAAAAGTTTTTTAGAAACGATTTCCAACAAGTAAAGCTGGTATATTCTTATCATTGATAGAATTTTCAGCTAAATAAACATTTTCTTTAGATTTATTAAGTTACTGATGATATCAAATCTGACTGACTCATCAGCACATCTAGTGTCTACAAACCAAATAAACACCATTAAGCTTCTTTTAATGGTGAAATAGCGAAACTACAGTCCACATTAAAGGGTACAGCCAATCAAGGAATGCATTAGGCCTCTACGTCACAGATTATCTTTTCAATTTCACCTCTGCTGAAAAAGAAAATAAATATTTAACACGCACACGTATATATATATACATGTGCAATCAACCGTTGGTCCACTGTTATATGGAATAATGAATTCGACGAAATGTCATAAAATTATTAACGTACCTAAATTTATTTAGGTTACTATATGGTGAAGTAAAACGGACTTAACCTCGATAGATAGTAAAATAATCTGTTCTTTCAGTGAAACTTTAGGCAGAATAGATAGAGTAGGTTAAAAACTTTAAACGAATTTCAACTGTCTGTTGAATGAAAAGATGCAGCTGTTTCGGCCTCAGTATAGAAGCCAAAACTTCGTCACTTTTTTCATTTAACTGGCAGTTGCAGTCCATTAAAGTCCTCAACCCTAATAAAGTTGCCTATTGGTACAGATCTGCACATTACAGGAACAATAATTTAAGATATATATTGGTTAATCGATTTTTGTGATTTGTATATATATATATTCTTAAACAAACCTATTATCATTATCAATGTTTAAAATTAAGAATGCAGGATGGCATGTGTTGTCTTGATAAGATTGTTAATTCTTTCAGGGTTGGTGGTTAGTGTCGCTGGTCAAAGCTATGTATATGTTAACGAGAAACAACGTGACATAAAATATAATCCTTCTAGTAATCTGTTTGACCTCAGTTCTTACGTGTACAAACCACCCTCGGAAGTACATCAACATATTGCAGCTCGAGGTTCAACACTAAACGCTAAGACACCTTCGCTAACCGGACCTCAAGTTAGTCAGTCTCATCAACCACCTCAAATCCTTCCCGTAAAGTATTCTGGTAGAACTTTGATTGAAACTTCACCAGACATAACAGGCCTTCCATCAGCTATAACAGCTGGAGGAGGATATTCTTTGGAGGAGCTTTATGCTTCCTTAGAAAAACGTCCTGACGAATACCAAAAGAAGCAAGCAGAACGTCTACCTAATTTTCTTCCTCCCACACAATCTCATTTCCATGAACAGCCCCAGGTTACTAACAGACAGGCACGTTTTACTCAGTCTCAGCAACAGGCTAAAGCCTACCCACAACAATATACCAGCAACCAGTACAGGACGACTCAATATGCTCAACTCCAGCCACAATATAACGTCAATCCTGAACAGTATACTAGCAACCAATATAAACAGAACCAGCCTTATCAACACCAGCAAAAGTCTAACATATATACTCAACAATATACTAGCAACCAATATAAGCAGAACCAGCCCTATCAACTCCAGCCACAATCTAACATCAATCCTGAACAATATACTAGCAACCAATATAAACAGAACCAGCCTTATCAACACCAACAACAGCCTAACATCTACCCTAAACAATATACCAGCGGCCAATATAAACAGAATCAGCCAGTTCACCACCAGCAACAGCCTAACATAAATCCTCAACAGTATAATAGTAACCAATATAAACACAATCAGTTTGGTCAACACCAGCAACAGCCTAACTTCAATCCTCAACAATATACTAGCAACCAGTATAAACAGAATCAGTCTTATCAACACCAGCAACAGTCTAACATACATCCTCAACAATATACTAGCAATCAGTATAAACAGAATCAGCCTGAACAACACCAGCAACAACCTAACATCTACCCACAACAATATACCAGAAATCAATACACACAAACTCATTCTCAATCGCAGCAACGCACGTACAATAATGAAGACTACAAACGTACTCCAAACTTCATTTCCCAAGGTCGCCTTCAGTCATCCATACTTCAAACATCTCAAGATTTGCCACAACCCAGTTCACATGATAACTACCCGACAAGTGCCATATCTTCCGATCAGTTGCAATTCTTTGGCCTTCCCGCCTTCATACTAAATGGCAAAGAAGATAAATCTTTAGAAGAGTTGTATGCTGAGTTCGAAAGTATGGATTTGGAGGCAGAAAAACAACAACATAAAGTTAAGCAGATTAGGCCACAAATACGAGGTGGTCAGCAAACTGAGTATCCTCAGGTTTCTCGAAAAGAACCAGACGCTGAACAAAATCATTATACTCCTCAAAACTCACCTCGAGGAAATGAGCAAATTAGTTATACATCAGTCTTTCAGGACCAGTTTCAAGACACAGCGAAGGGGAACAGTTCACCAATTAGTCCACAATCAACCAAAAGGCAAGGACAATCACAAAGAAGAAGAAGAATACGTCAAAAACGGCGTAAAATACATGAAAAACATAATACTGCTGAAGAACCCGAAGATGTTAGTCGTCTCATGGTCCCAATTCCAGTAAAACCTCTAAAAGATAATTCACAGCATTCATCCGAAGTGAGTCGCAACTATGTAGACTTATCTGTGGATTCGCTTCCTCAGGATCCGGATGGAGATGGAATTCCTGGAGAAGCGGGAGTGAATTATCCCACGCTGAACTCTGTACCACAGACGTCGTTTTCTTGTCGGCAGCAGCCGCTTAATGGATATTATGCAGATTTAGAAACATCATGCCAGGTAACACATTTGGATTACTGATTCACTTCCCTAGTGTATTTAACTTACATTATCTTACGTTCAGGTGTTTTGAAACAAGTTTTAATATTCAGGACTGGCAAAGAATAAGTTTTGACAGAAAGTATAGGTGGTGGGAAAACCATTCAGTCTACACCTCTACCAGTTGGTAAAGTTGTATAAAAAATATATGTGGAATACATTTATGAGAAAGCACAACCACAGGTGGCACTGCAAGCTAAACTTGAAACAAAGTATGTTTTATATCATCTTAAGAAGATAGTAGCTCAATGCAAGGTGCAGAAAATGTTTAATATTTCCTCCGTCCATTTCACCAACAGACTTCAGATGAGATAGAACGTGACAAACAAAGACATGAAGAATATCTTCAGTGACGCTCATCACTTAATGTTGATCATGATTCTTTGCTCAAGTGTTAATATTGAGTACATGTAACAAACTTACTGATCGTCGAGTGAATGTTTTACACACCTGTAACAACCTGGCAAAGTTGTAGGTTGTATGGTTTTTCCACGACCTATACGTTTATACTGCAATATATTTTGTGCTATTTCTGTATTTCATTGTGTTGTTATCATGATTAGTTAGTTTATGTTGTAATGTATTTTGAGCATAATTTAAATATATTGTAACGTAGTTTTTAATTCACCGTGAAAATGTATTATCATTACACTGTAGACACCGTACTGGTGGCGTTGGTGTATTTATTGTATATTTTTTCCATTGTCACAAATGGTTCTTATAGAATTCACTAATGAAGGTTAACTAATCTTGCTACAATTTTTGAATTTTCATCACATTGGCAAGCACGAGTGTGAGGGATAGGATTGACGAGTCACTAAAGTGTGTTGTATTTGACCTGAACATTCACGTGAAAGTATTTTCTTATGATTATATTTCTAACAGGAAAAATAAATATTTAAAATATATTCTTTTCTTTATAGGTGATGCATCTATGCCAAGCCGGCGGAGTTCAGGACAGTTTTCTCTGTCCAAATGGAACGATCTTTAATCAGGAAATATTCTCTTGTCAATGGTGGTACAAGGTGGACTGTGCGAAATCGGTTAGCTTCTATAACCTAAATGAAGCGCTGTACAAGGTTCCGAAGCCAGCTAAAGAATGAAGGTGGAGACACTGAAAATTTGTTGTTTTAACTGATTTAGTTTCATGCCGAAACAGGACTAGCCTTCTCAAACGAACCTGTCGTTCAATGTATAATGTCACTATAATTTGCCCTTTCAGGAGATTTATTTACTGAATAAAAACTGTAGTTAAGATAGGAGAACTTGTAAACTACACGCATAATAATTAATAGTTTCCTGCGTACATAATATTTGACATTTAAACCTTTGCACTTGTATGGCGTACTTGCTGACAACAGATAACATACACTATTAAAATACACAATGAGTCAAACACGGATAAAGAAAAATACAAACTAATGTGGTCTATCCGTGTTAAGTGTCCGTGTGAATTTAAATTATAGAATAATAAATATGTGTACTTAAAATCTGCCTAGATAGAAACTTAAACGTGTGAGTATAAAATTTATAACTTCGGCATGAATGCTGTACTTTTGGAACTACCCTCCTGGTCTGTTGGACAGTTTTCACAAACTTTAAGGTTATTTTATCATATTTACATTTTTAAGCTAACAACCATGAAATCAATTTAGGCCTTTCTGAGAATTTTGAAAGCGAAAATTTAATATTCATAAGAATTATTGTTATTACAGTATCATTACCATTTACAAATACGAAGAAGTATTTAAAATGTGGTATTACCATGATTTATTTACAAAAGAAAAGCACTTAAATAAAATGCAGCAAATCAATTAAGCTTGTTTATTGAAGGTTTTCATCATACACTGTAGACCTTTCCTGTTTGTCGTATTAGGTGTGTTTTTTGTGTTAGATTCAATTCTCGTTGGGAATGCTTATTTAACTGTACATTTTATTAACATTGTTTTATTAGTCTTGATAGGATCATTATAGTTCGTAACAAGTTCATACTGTTATAATAGCAAACGAAGTAGTTTTATATACTGCATATTTATGTTATTCTAATTTGATTTTATGTTGTAAAACATATTTTGTTTGGGAATGGGCGAGTTAATATCACCCCATTTCCAGCAAACGAATCACGCTTGGTTCAGGTAGACGTCATATCCCTTAAGACCTGTTGTCTCATAAACAACTTACGTAGGTAGCGTTTCAATAAGAAGTTAAGATCTACTATTACCGGACGAAAGTTTATGTTAAAACAAGTTCCACACTTTCATGTTTTCTCTTCAGTTTTTCTTTCGTTTGAACGAAACCTAGATGCAGGTGAGGTGCTAACCCATTGTGGGCCTTAAGCAGGAATATTTTTTTAAACCCCTCAACAACTTCATAAAAACACTAATTACAATATTTTTATATACTAAAATTACAATAACATAACGTATACTAATATATTTGTTAAACAATCATTTATACTCACAGAATAACGCCACTGCACCTATATCTTTCTCAAATCATGCACATTGTGTGCGCACTACGCTTAATAACCAATCAGCGCGTGCTCACTGCACGTGTGTCTGACAGAAATACCTTACTATTACAGTTTTTAAACAACCTTCTGTTAGTGAGTGATGTGTTTTTGAGTTGCTCTAATTGAAATCACTTTTTTTATTTCAAATTAATTCAGTATTAAAACAGAAAAGTCAATGTTCTGATGAAGAAATCAGAGGCCCCTTGAACTGTTCGGGGTCCTAAACAATCATAGCTTTTGCCTAGCGCCGCCAGGATTGGATCGAAGAGGACACGGGAAAGCATCAAAGCTTGTTATCCAGTAACAGTGGATATTAACCTCGTTTTTAGATCACTTTGCATTGTATTGTGCATTTACCTACTATTTCAAACAAAACTTTTTATGTGTTGTGGCCCACTCATGAACCACGATAAGTTCTGGTATTGAACGACAGGCCCTTCTGGAGCAATATACAACAGATTGATATGCTATTATATATATACATATTATTCTTACGTACATGGAATCTTTTACCGAATCAGTAAAATGTGATGTGATTACAGTTATTATTAGGTTAACTGTTATTTAATAGAACACCTTTTATTAACTAAGGGATCATACTTCGTCACCTTAGGCGTTATACAACATTAAACATGCATCAGTTTAAACGTAAAGAAAGAACTTTGCATTTTATTTGAAACTAGACACGTTTTATTTTTTGTTACGCCAGCCATTTTTATTTATAATTTATATTAGACGAATCGCTTCTGGGACTAATCGCATTGTTTCTATATGGTTCCGTTCATACTTTTTTAGACTTGCATCGTAGAATTACATTTCATGACTATTGTTTAATGATTTTAAAAATTTAATATAGTGATTTGATTCTAATGTGTATAAAAATTCACCTCCTCTGAGAATGAGAAAGTAAGAAATACTTTATAGTTGTTTAATACAATCACACAATCAATGATATTTTAATTACAAAACATACATATGTGTCAATTTTTAACAAGTTTGGCCTATCCATAACATCTATCCTTTAACAAGAGAAAATCTTCAATAGCCGCGGCACTTGAAATTATTTTAGGCAGGATTAGAGTAAATTAATCTATGAGACCTTCCCCCCCCCCCTTTTACTTAGCTATATTATGTGCGCCACCAATACCAAGCGTGGGGTGCGCGTATACCCGATTCGATATCATTATTCATCAGGATCTCTACCAGCTTACCCTCAGACTGAAATTATTTTAGGCAGGATTAGAGTAAATTAATCTACAAGGCCTTGGGCGTGGTCAAATACAACAATCGAAAGGGTTTGACCTCCTGAGTAATTGTAGTTAGATTTCATATCGGTCAAGAGATGACGGAGCTATGAGCTAAAAGTTTGTACTTGAAAAAAAGCTCAGCCAATCTATGAACCGCAATGGCGCGGCTAAAAAAACACGAATAAACGATGGTTTTCAACTCAAACCTTATGTGGTTTCTAGGAACAGTTTTGATGAGTTTAACTGATTAATATTTTGTCATCATGCACATAATACAAATAGTCTGCGATTCGTTGGTTCAAATGTATATTTTTCTATTGATCTGTATTGCGTGTTCTGTTCTGCAATAAAAATTAATTTTGTATTCTTGTGTTTTCAATAAGAAATCATACGGCTTTCATGTTGGAGGTATGTACTCATTATATATTTGCAATGAAATTGATGCCACCAATATTTCAAATTCGATTTAATAATAATAATAATAATGATATATATATATATATATACTTTTATCGTTTTCAAGTGAGTTTCTTCAAATTTTTGTACATTAATAGTTTTAATTGTATTGTTGTTATTCCTTAAAGTAAAAGTAAGTGAAAAAAGTAAAAAAGTCTGTGGTAATGGAAGAATTATCAAACCATACACAGTGTTAAAATAAAATATTTTAGTAAAACCACTCATTAAAAAATTACAAATCAGAAAGTTCAAATTCTGATAAAGAATAAACCATTTATTTTATATTTAATTTCATGATATCACCACAAGCAAATCTTCTTTAGAATATCAAATCTGACGGACAATTCTGGAATAAAGTGACGTACAAATTGCCATGTAGCTACATTCTACAGAACGAATCACGTGACGTTAAATTCGCACATATGCTGGACAAAATAAATTAGGGATTAACAAATTATTGACATATATTATGCAAGTGCGTAAACTATTAATGAAAGCTAAATCTGTTGTTTTATTAAGGCAAAATCATTACAAGACAGTAAGCAACAAAATGAAATTTCTCTCACCCCCTCTTCCTCTATTATACATTCTTCCTTTCAACGAAAGTTGAGTTTATACTTCACGAAGGACCGGTGTACTTCTCTAAATTTCCGAAAACACTTCAGCTTCTCTAGAGCACATGAAAATAAATCCTATATCAAGACGTTTCACTTTAGCGAAGCTTCCTCACTTGGTAAAAGTGTAAAACAAAATAAATCCTGAGAGGGTAGGGGTGAATTTGATGAATTTATAGTAATACCGCAGCCTCTCTTCTTCACCAGCTCTTAGCACTACTAATTGAAGCTGGAAAGATGATGTTTGACGAGAGTACTTGGGTGGAGATGAAGTGGAGCATTTTGTTGTTGTTGTTGTAAATGTGGTTCTGAGAAGGATCGGTTTGAGAATCTATCAGAGTATGAGTGATCCTGATAAGTACCCGTTACCAAACATATAAGAATCCTCAGATAGATTAGCTCATAGTAACTACTTTTCCTCCATGAACAAAAAAAAAAAAAGTATTGACAAGAAAAAGACGAAGAGAAAACTGAATGTATATAACTTTTAGGGAAGTGTCAATTAAATAGAATGCCTTTTGGTTTATGTAATGCCTCTTCAACTTTCCAAAGATTAATGGATGTAGTATTATCAGAGACTTTAGAAGACTCCAATTGTTTTTGCTATTTAGATGATATAGCAGTTTTATAGTAAATTTAACAGAACACTTAGTTAGGTTAAGACACATGTTTGATAGATTGCATGAGTTAAAACTTGAAGTTAAAACTCTCTACATGGCATTAGCAATCGATGTGTTCGAAGGAAAACGAAGTTTGATAATAAACAAAATTACGACACTTATGATATACAACATTATTTATTAACAAAAAGGGGACATAGATAAACGTTTCGGAATTCTATCAGATTCCGTCTTCAGTATCTAAAACAAAATAAAATTAATTTACATAAGTCTTTGGACATTGCTAAAGTACAAATGATAAATTTAATGATAATTAAACAAATAAAACACAAAACAGTAATTATGAGGAGAAACTACAGCACGAAAACACATAAAAAAAGTAAAATCAGTAATATGAACATATTAAAAAATGTATAATTTAAATGTAGACTGCACGTTGTTCAGTGTTGGAGAGTGCTGTTTGATGTGGAGGGTTTCTTTAATCAATAATTCCAGGTCAGTACAAATTCTATTTCAAACTTAATGAGAGAACTATGCAAATTATTAGGTGTAAAAAACTAGAGACAACATGCTATCCAGCTACTTAAGGCTTAGAACTTTGTTAAACATCTTGTCACAGAATTGTGAATCAGATCAGAAGACATGAGTTGAGCAGGTTACGTTATTACTTTAACTTATAGAAGCAACACAAATGAGTCTACTCAGGAAATTCCTATTTTATTATACGGTAGAGATTTAATGATGCCAATGAAAGAGATATTGGTTTGAAGGAAAGTATTCGTTAGATGAAGACTATAAAATAGAAATGATACAAAGAATGCTAG